AATTTTCATTTCAACAGTTGAAAAGTGAGTGATACCGTCAATTAACGAAAAGCTAAAAATATCACTCTAGAAAAGGATGGAAAGGATACACATTCATTGAATAAGATAAAGTACATATCTTATATTTAATACTTATTACATGCATCTATTTTATATGTTTGAGTTATTTATGAATTTAGTTAATTATTTTAATATGTAGATAAAAAAAGACAAATTAAATTGTGAATAACTTACAAGACATGAAGTATGGGTTGAAGGATAATTAAATTCAAAAGGTAAAATTGAAGATGACAGTGTGAGGCAAGTTTGGTAGACTTGTGTAAATATTAATATTTAATTCTTGTTTAAATCTAATATTTATGTTGAAAACTAAATCTCATATTTTATATAATAGCAAAATTTTTCACAAGGTTAGAAGAAGCACAACAATGTGGTCATGAAGATATCCTTAGCAAGGCATTAAATGTTCCAAAAGTCCCGGGTTGTGTTAGAGGAGTTGTTTTGGTGTTACCTAAACCACTTATTTCGATGGCAGAAGACGCTCAAACAAGAGTGTAATTGCTAAGTTGAAAGAGGAAATGAATGTATTTTGACAACAAATGCTGGAACAAAATATGCGCGAGTAGCATTATGAAGAATAATGTCATCAATTATAAGAACAAAATACAAAGTTATTCCAACAAATGAATGATATGATGCAACAGGGCTTGGTGAGAATTCTAGTAGTTGAAAGCCCTAATTTGAGGGATAGCTGTACTTTCATGTCAAACCACCCAACTTTCCCTCCACTAATACTTTTTCTACACTACTTATATTATATTCTTAATTTTATAATATAAATTGTTAAAAATTTTCTTTGTTCCTAGGGGAAATCAAAATACAAATTATACACAGAATTTCCCTTTGAAAATATAGTTCCTGTGGGTACTATTTACAATTTTGCTTAAGACACTTTACATACAATACCATTACACCCTGGCACATTATGAGTTTCTATAGACATTTGCCTTAATGATGATGTCAAGTTACTAATACCTTTTAATAAAGATATTGTATTGGTTAAAGATGCAGAGAGGACTTTTGTTGCATGGCCTCTATATCTCATTGAGTCATTTGATAAGGTAATTATATAATTCAAACTTTTTTATAATTTGCTACATGTAATTATAATTTGATGACTTAATTTTTTTTATATTATTTTTACAAACTCAATCAAAATCAAACAACAAGAAAATAATTGAATCGCATGGTAATATCTCTAAGGAATCAAATACCATGCATAAGTAAAAAAGTATATCTCATGGAGTTTCAAAAATGAAAAGGGCTAATAATTATCATAAAGCTCTTCGGTCTCTTTCGCCAAAGCTTACTACTAATGGCCAAACAATTGAAATAAGATTTGTGGAAGAAATCTATTGTAAAGATAGTTGGGAATATCTTGATAGAAATACCATCATGAAAATACTTAATTGAGAATAGGTGAGTGCTTCTACTATCAACACTTGGATAAGGTACTTGTTTTATAATATCCTTTGATATTGATGTTTTTATCATTTGTTATGATTGGTTTTAATACAAGTTTTTGCTATTTATTAAGGTATTTGTACATTTCTTTTCTAAAAGACACGGAGAAAATGAATAGATTTACATTTATTAGTCCTCATGATATTAGTCATGGGTCGACATTGGGTCCATCTGAGCAAGTAAATCTTGTAAAAGAAATGTTCATAAAGAAGGCAGAAGTTGAAAAACATATATTATTTTTAATTCCTTACAATGCAGGGTAAGTAGTTTATTGATTATTTTTTCTTTTGTGTATGATACCTCAATTTTATTAAGACATAACAAAAGTTTAAATTTTTCAGGAAACATTAGATTTTGATTGTTATCAATCCTGTGACTGTTCCTTTGCCTTTAATTTATTATTTAGATTCTCTATCTGAAGGTATGCCAATGGATCGGCCTAATATGTTGAGGTTATTCAATAAGTAAGTATTTATACTTGTAAGAATTATTTTACACATTTTTATATATATTTGCATCAATTAATATTGATTAATTTTTTTCTATTTTATTAGGACATTGAACAATTTTTGAGGTCACAAAGAGCTCCTCTTTTCCAGAAATAAAGAATTTTCTAAAAGTTATCAATGGACAAAAATCATGGTATAAATTATACTTTAGAGAATTATTAAATTATTGACAATATATTTATTTCGTTCATAAATTTACATCATATTTTGGTGAATTTTGTGCCCTTTCCAACCAAATAACAATAATTGTGGTTACTATATTATGAAATTCATGAAAGATGTGATCACTCATGGTCAAACTTCTATCCCATTTGATGTATGAAATTTAACTCAATTTGAATTTTATCATTTTTAGTTGCTTATGACATCATTTTTTAATATATTTTGTAGCACTATGAGGATACAAAGTGCTTGGCATATAGTGATGAGCAAATTTATGATCAAATTAAAGAATGATCATATTTTGTTTTGACTTTAGGATGTCAGAACATAAGTATTATTAAATAGTTTACTAATTTAGAAACTTTTAAAATTTTTTATTATATGTCTTCAATCTCTTTGGAGAACTTAGCTATATTAATGTAGTTATAGACTTCTTGTTCGTATCACAAAGTTGTTTCTTTTTATTGTATAACTGGACTGTTTGTAAACTGTTGGACTAGTTGATATATATTATTCAATCTTTTATATTGGTTTTAAAAGTTGGGCTAATGAATTTATGAAATTTTATTTTTTTAAGAAAATAACATTAGGTGGCATTTCTTCAAGGAACAACGCCGCCTAATGTAATTTAAAAAAAAAAGAACCAAAGAAGTGGCATTTTTTCACTACTAAATGCCACCTTTATAGTCAAATAGGTGGCATTTCTATCCAAAGAAGTGGCGTTCTTTCACGACCAAACGCCACCTTTATAGTCAAATAGGTGGCGTTTCTACTAGATAGAAACGCCACTTATTTAAATTTAAATTTTTTTAATTATAATAATTTTTTTAAATATCTAAAGTTGTTAGCCCTAAAAAAATTTATAATTGTGTTATAAATCAAAAATAATAATATAACAAATAGGTGACATTTTAAGACTTACAAACGCCACCTATTTCACATTTTTATTTTAAAAAAAAGTAATGGAAGTGGTGTTTTTTTTTAAAAAAAACGTCACCTCTATTAAACTGAGTTTGAGAGAGGTGGTGTTTTTTTTCAAACAAATGCCACCTCTCTAATTTAAAATAAAAAAAAAAGATTTGATAGATGTAGCATTTGGAAAACTAAACACCCTTACTCTCATGTTAGTCTTATGACGTTTCAGTAATTAATAAAACATCACGAGATACTTATTATAGTTTTGAAATTTATAACATTTATTAAACATCACAAGATTAAAACTTTAAATACCACCAAAGCTTATTTTTGTAATAGTGTCGGTGAATGAGGTTGCAGGCTTCCACCTTCGTTAGTTTCATGGATATGCATGTATGAAGGGCGAAGGCAACAGCTTCGATTTCAGCAATGGTGACTGGGATACGCGGTAACGTTTTTGGAAGAACACTATCCAAGTGCCTTGTGAATCTCGAAGGACATCTCCGATGATGCTTCGCTCCTGTTCACAATTGGAAGCATCCACGTCAAATCTTAGCCAGTTCTGGGGTCGCGGTTGCCAAGTAGTTAACTCTTGCGGCATCTGCTTGGCGATGGACAACTTGTATCCAGCATAAGCGTTGTCTTCAAAAGGTTTAAAGTTGTAGGTACTCTCTCTTATTTTCTTTCGAGCTTCTGCTCGCCTCTCTATCAAAAAAAAAAAAAATGTTGTAGGTACTCTGAATGGCTTCAGCTGATAACCTTTTGCCTTTCATGACACCTTTGCAACGATTCTTCTAAAGCAGCCAGCAAACATGGCCAAGCTTTGGGGCCCAAACCAAACAGGCCGTGAAATAAAAAACCGGTCATGTTTGAACAGCCCTTCAAGCCTTGTTGTCCAAAAGATTTATAATGATTCAAATTTTAATATTATCAAAATAAGTGATGTTGGTTCTTTTATCATTTATTTTAACACAAAATTAACAAATTTTTTACTGTTTTCTTAAACAATTTATAAGATCTATCTTTTGATCTTGATTAATATCATACTCTATGATACATAAATTTTTATATTTATTAAATTTGATAAGACTGATTTGAATTGAAAATTTTTATTTTCATTTTAAAACTTAATCAACATTTTTTCTCTAAATTTACATATTTTTATTTTATCAAAATTTTTTTAACTTTTTTGAAAAATAAAACAAGCTTACAACCCTCAACCCTAAGCTCTTCAAACATGCCTAAACCCTTAAGAGTTGAGATTATCGATTTCCCATCTCTATTGTTTAGTTCATGAATAGCAACTGATATATTGATTTGGAGGAATGTTGTATTAAAGGCGGTAAGGACATCATTAGGATAGACGGAAGGGGTTTAAAAACAGAAAATGAAAAGGGGGAGGGGGGGAAATCTCATCTTACATATCAAGGTTTGATACATATTATTCAAGTTATCAGAAGTTAGATAAGTAGGCCTCCATCACCTGTACTAAAGGGGAAAATTTTTCTACCAGAACTGAGTCAAATAAAATTAAAGCAATGATGTAAAAACTTAGAGAGAGAGAGAGAGAGATTAATGCTCAACAAACCTCCTCCTATGTCATGCACGTATGGTGCAGATTGTCAGGGGGAACTCCCTCTTGGAAGTTTGGTGGGAGCATCCACATTTTGCGGAACGCTTCCCGACCAGCTACAATAAGCCAACTGTTACATTGGAGGCATCTATATTGGGATCGAAATTTTCAATATGATTGTAACCCTAATGCAATTACACTATTCATGAATTATTCACGTACACTCTATATTGGTATTAATAGCTACCTCTCTATTTTATAAATAAGATCCACGAAAGTAATATATATTGACAATCTGATAAAGAGACCGACGATCATGTCACTTGGCATCATATCAAAGGAGAATTAACGATCCCCCATTTAGCCATCATTTCATTAAAGGGCGCTCTCACCTTATCACATAAGGGCTGAGGCGATTCACAGGTAGGAGAAGAGCTATCTATTATCTCTTCGTCTTAAAACATAAACTGAATAGCAAAATTTAAAATCCATAGTATCTAGGTCTAACCAGAACCACTCAATCATTACATTCTAAAGAAATTCTGCGCCACAAATCTCTCCCAACAAGTCATCATGGTCCAAAACAGGGGAGAAGGAAAGCACCTATATATAATCAAGTCTTGTAAACAATCTGTGAGAGTGGAAGCATTTCTATTGCCTTAGTACTTTAGAGGTGATTGCTGAGTTGGTAACAGACCAAAGCGCTTCTTCAGAAGGACTCTCTGCCTGGAGAATTTATCATCGGGTGAAAACCGTGCTGCAAAGCGAGCCAAAACAAAACAAGGTAAAGTTCAAGTAAGGACGGAAATTTAAAAAAAAAAATGCTACAAAGAATGGTGAGTGGAAGGTCTGGACTGGTGCTATAAGTCTCAAACAGAAACGATCTGCATCTCATTTCTTTTAAGAAATGACTGCCATAAAAGTAGGCTGTTAATAAGAAGTCCAGGACTAATGCACAAATATTAAACTGTTGAACTTACAGAATACAAATATATGAACCATAGGTAACAGAACACAAATACATCCCACAAAGTCAACACCCAATAGAAGTGCTCAGATCACCGGCAACATTGGCTTGCTCAATTTGATTTCGAATATATAAAACTCACATATTCACAGAAGAACTCTAGGTTCAGGTACTTCCAGTAAGGGGGAAAATCGTAAATGCAAAATTTTGAAGTGGCAAAAAAAGGTCGACAGTTAAGGAGCCCTATGCAGCTAACATCTAGGCATCGAATCCACAGAAAATGAATTGATTCTCTAAAGATATGGGCACATGGCTCACAATGTCACCCATATATATTATTCAAAATTTCTCTGTTTCCTCCTTAACAATAGTAAGAATATTATCATAATTCATACAGAACTTGTGAGTGGTCATCATTCATGAAACCAGAGGCAAAAATAAAAAAGTCATTATAGAAACAATGAAACTGCTACCTGGATGAGCAGACTGTGTTGCCACACCCAGAGGTGATTCTTTCTGCATGAACAAAGCAGCTAAAAGTTAATGCAACTAAAATCAATTCAGCAAATTTTGTGCATGGTAACATAGAATGGCTGGCAAAATAAAGGTGTTGTAACATGCAATGGAGTTCCAAACTTAATTATTCAGCAATCCAACTGACATTATAATTTTTTTAAAAAAAGGGAAGATTTAATACATGGTACTTACAGTAAACAATCGGGCAATATTTCGTAAATATTGAAAGTACATAAAGTCCATGCACTTTCAATCTCTTTCAATAATCACATTATCTTTTTTCTAACAATCTTTGAAGAAAACTTTTGTTTCTATTTACCAGTCATTTTGAAAATCCAAGATAATAGTAGTTACAATTTTCTTCAAAATACACTTATCTTCACTAACTTTAACTATGGAGAGAATAGATAGAATAAATTAAGGGCATATTAGAAAATTTAAAAGGAATTCTGACATACTAATTGTATTTTTAATCTGTAAACCTTAAACGACAAATAAAAAATAGAAGGCATATAAAAAAATTGATCAATTAGTGATATTTCATCAAGAAGTCATTTGAATAAGTCACATTATCTCGTCCTTATAATGATGCCCGTGGCCTGGCTTTAGCTAGACTTTGCCATGGTTAAAAGCTAGTTGTTATTTTGTAATCCCTTTATTACCCCAGGAAAAAAATAAATAAATAAGTCACGTTGCCATTGTCATTCATGAATCTGCCGATGCAAGTAAAAATTCTACCAATTCATGAAAAGTATAGAATGAATTCATGCTTAATGCTTTCAACTTCAATTTAGCAGCAAACAGGTTGTGTGTCACAAAACTACTTAAGAGAAACTAAATGTTGACAATTACCTTGGTGGTGTAAACTTTATCACCATTTTCATTTATGTAACACTGAAGATACATTATTGCTGATTTTTGGTTCTGTCGATGATGAATTAAGTCTAGCAACAAACAAATGCAGCCACTGCATCACGCAAAAGACAATATTCACATATCAATAATGACAAAAAATAAAAGCGCAAAAAAGAACAAAGATATGATAGTATGAAATAAGATTAATAATTAGATACTGCTGATGAGAATTAAGATATAAAAACACTAGCTCACGGATTAAAGTAATGACATTTGACAACAGCAAGCAACCATAAAAATAGTCAAGCAGTTACACATAAACACAGTACTACAGATAGACTATCAGATAAAATGCATTCTGCTTCCAAACAAATTTCAATATCCTTTTTCATATATATATATATATATATATAAAAGATTTCACACAACATGAATGCCATCTGCAATCTTTGTTCAGTAACAGTACAAGTGTTGCGAAAAGCATATTCTCTCTCTCTCTCTCTTTCTCCAATAAAGCCAATCTAACTTGACGAATTTATTAAACAAAATTAAAGTCATCAGGCTAATGAGAACCGTCCATTAGGTCTTTCTTTCGATGATAATCATTACCGTATTCTTAAATCAGGCACGCATCAGTATGGATTTCAATGAAATAGATCATCCAAAAAATATCAAACAATGTGCTGTGATCGTTAAAGATGAGACGCTAAGATGAGAGACTAGGGAGGCGTACCGAGCGAGACTGAGATGAGAGGTTGGGAAGGAGGGAGCACCGCCACCGACCCCGAAGGAAGAGGTCGTATGGGATTAAGGGTCCACGGCCACCGACGGTGAGCACGCGTCAGAGAGTGCGGGTCGGAGGGCCGAGCCGAGCGTGACTGTGATGGCTAACCGAAGAATTCCACACTTCAACCGTGCCTCGTTTAACCCTCGTAAACCCTATTCGTTTATGGATTTATTTATTTATTATTTTATTTTGGATTATTTTGTTCCCCAGTCTCCATTATTTTATTTTCGAACTCGGACATGCCCAGCCGGCCAGCCCACCACTGTATGGGCCAACAGAACTTCCTTATAAAATTTGAAATCTTTCTTAACAGTACTAACAAAAGACTGGCACATTATCAAGAAAAAAAAACTAACAAACAAAGGACAAAAGATTGACGGATATTAATAGATTCCTCCAGCCTAGTCTAATAACAGTCAATTGTGGGGATATCTTAAAAAACAAAACCAAAAAAAAAAAAAAGTAACAAATGCCAACAGAGATAGATCATAACGGAAGAAGCTGGTTATCAACTGGATTTTACTTTTCATGATTCATTGCTTGATATCGAACCATCTGGGCATTCTTGGTTTTTAGTTGTTTACCTTTTCTTGTTGGTTTTTGACTTGCAGGTTGTCTTTTGTCTTGCAAGTTGTATTGTAAGTTTTATTGATTTTTGATAGGTTATGCCTTAGGCTTTATTGCTTTCCTTGATTAGTGTGTGTAATACTCTTTTTTAGTGATTAATAAAATTGATTTTTTTTGTGGAGGTAAAAAAAACCATTTGGGCATTGCTTTAGATGCTGGTGGACCAAAAAAAAGGGGGGCTAGTCTTTCGAATTCTCCCCAATAAATATGTTTATATTTAATAGTCTATAATACTTTAAATAAGATTGCTTTTAAAAAATGATATTAATACACAATAAAGAAAACAAGACTAATAAATACCCAAAAAAAACACTAGCATTTTTTTCCCTAAAAAGACTATCCTATGGTAAAGTTTTATTACAAAATTAATATGATAATCAGTGAGGATGCAACTTATAATACTTTGAGTTTAATTGTTTTTGTTTTTATAGTATAAAGTGGAACTTCATTCGTTACAGAAAGCAAACAACGGGTATACAACTAAAAAAAAAAAAAAAGCGTAAAATACCAAAGAAACCGCCTCATATAAGATGATGGGTACAACTTATTACAAGTTCAAATCGTTACTTGAGGCTAAAAGCTAACTTACACAAGGTAATCAGCCATCCTCATGTCTTCTTTGTACAAAAAATAATAATAATAAAATTGAACTCTCATTTTCTACACAAAAATTTTCTTGCTGATTCAATAATTTGTTGGAAAGGATGATAACTATAATTATCTTTTATAATAGTTGAAATAACGTTTGCACAATTACAAAAGATTTTCATAATCCTAAATCCTTTTTGCCACCTTTAAAAATGCCATAAATTTTTAAGTTGTGGGTGGAACATAACCCAATTTGCAATTATAAATGCAAGTATCATTTCTTTAAGATTTTTTAATTTTTATAAAATTAATTTTTATATTATAATATGTAACACCCTCAAATTTACAAACCAATTTTTCGTAAATTATTAAAACCATTATGGTAGAAATTTTTTTTTTTACCATGATACATTCAAGACATACCACAGGTCTTAAAATATCCCAAAAAGCAATTAGAACTATGAGGGACAGACATGATCCTCATGGCATAATATTCAAATCAGATCATAAATCAAGAGGGACAGACATAATCCTCTTGATCATATAAATACTTTTAATAAAAAGGATTAGAGTTTACATGCTTCTCAAAGAAGATATGTCCTAAGTTGGCACAAGATACATTGTATAATCCAAAATAAGAGGCAACGTGAAAGATGGTGTCTCATACACCATAGTTACACCTCTGGTGCTTTCTCGGCTGGACTCTCTCCTGTAAAAATATTAACCACGGGGAATGAGACTTAAAAGTCCCAGTAACCAAAAATTAATATGTAATGATGTATGGGGATGTAATTAATCATGCGATTGCTAAGTGGGCACACAAAAACATTTAATCGAACAATATTTCCAAACAAACCGAACAAGTATTTAATTTGCATGACTGCACCTTATATCCTCCTTTTGCCATGCTCGGACGCCAAATCACCCGGCCAAAGGTGAGTTGGACCAAGCGACACGCCATTCATTGGGTCCAATGAGGGCTTACCACGTGGTAATAATTAATCGAACAGAAATTCCCATTAACACCATACATTAAAATACCCTGACAAGTCATGCATCATTCAAATATTCAAATAGAAATATATCCAAACAATAATATCTCATCATGATAAATAAAAATAAATTTTTAACCCACTTGGCAATAATTTCAAACAAGTATATACAGTATTTATTTTCAATAATTCATAATTTTTTCAAACAATAAAACAACACATAACCATTCACAAACACACCCATCACAACACATTAATAATGGTTACCTTGTGTCTTGAATAACAAGTTTCCCTTCACAACTCCTCTTTCACCACTATCTTTGTCAATATAATCTATATAATTATTTCACAACACTATATATTAATTTTTCATTGAAATTAATAAATAAATTAAATTAAAGAGTTAGAAAGTCTTAGATCTAAAATCCATATTAACACTAATTTAAGATTTATGCCTCATTTAACTTTCAAATTATTCTCTAAAATTCTCGTACCCTAATAAATTATTTTTAAGCCTCAAATCATTTCTAGTATCACAATTTCATCCATCTATATTCTAAAAATTCATTCAAAAATAAATTAAAAATTTTAGAATTATCTTGAAGCCTCAAATCACCTTTCTATAACCTCAAAAATATCTATTCATACTTAAATAACTATTTAATAATTAGAAGTTCATCCCTACATAGCAGATTCAATATAATTTCAACAATATAGATCTAGATTTTAACTCAAAAATTCTTAAACATGAGTTTCAACCTCAAGAAAATATTCTATGATATTTATTATATTCCTAAGAGCTTTAACCAATATTTTTAATCAATCATATCATTAGATTAACTATCCTATAAAAAAATTCTAATCAAAATATTTGCTCTATCCTACAAAATAATCATATCACTAGAAAGCTAATATTATTTAGAAAATAACTATAAAATTAATTTTGTAATTAAATAAATTTTTAAATGTTAATCTAAACAGGAAAGTTAGAACATACCTGAAGAAAAAGAAAATAATCCCCCCTTGCGAGAAAACGCCGAGCAACGTGAGAGGAAGAGAGAAAAATAATATAAAAATGGGATTGTGGGTCTCAAAATTATATTATTAAAAAAATATAGGCCTAAATTTAATTATTCAAACTTTTGGGCCATTACTTGCAATTTTCTCTAAATTGTATCTTGGGTTCTTAGCTGCAATTTTCACAAATTGCAAACTTTTTTATTTTACTTCTGCTTTCCGCTCCTTATATAACATCCCAATTTAAATTTTAATAGTTAATTTGGGTTAATAAAAATTTTGAAAAAATATTTAGAGGTAAACAAATTAGTAGAAAATGATTATTAAATCTAATTTAGGATATAATTCTAAATTAAAATAAAAAATTAAAAAAATTAATTAATTAAAAAAATAAATAAATAAAATATTATTAAATTATTATTATTATTATAAAAAGAAAGAAAGAGAAAAGGTATGAGAAAGAGAAAGGAAAGAAGGAAGAAAACGTGAACGCTTTCGATGCAATCATTGTATATTATAATAATATAAAAAAAGGGGAGAGAGAGAAAAGAAGAAATAATAAAAAAAATTGTGTGGGACCCACTGAATTTTTATAAAAACTCACCCGTTCCTTCATTTCTTCATTCCTTCTTTCGTGCGTGAGCTGAGGCAGAGAGAGCATCTGTGAGCCAAGTTCACCGGTGCTGGGTTTTAAGGTAAGAGTTTTTAATAGGATATTTAGGGTGTGATTTTAAGCTTTTCAAGACTAAGTAAGTGTTCTAAAATTTTTTCTTAGTCATCCTTCTTCTTTGGTTTCTGAGTTTGTAGTGGTAGAAAATTTAAGATCTGGAAGAGGGATGAATTTATGTTGAATAAATATAATTTTTGAGGTTGTCAGTAGTATAATAAATGTTCTAGAGTATAAATTTATTGATGATCTTTGAATCTGTGGCTTATGGATCAAATTCTAAACTAGATCTGAAAATATATGTTGATTTATTGAGGTTTAGATGATTATTTGGGATGAGAAATGAATTATTATGGTTATAGGATTATGATTCTAAGCTAGAGACTCAATTTTTAATTTTTGATATTTTAGGTACGAATTTATGAAATAAAAAAATTTTGATAATAGAAATTAGTTTAGAAGTTGATTTTTAGATTATTAATGTTTATTGATAATTAAAAGAGGAGTTAAAAATTTTACTTAATAGTATTAACTATAGATTTGTATTAAGATTGAGATTAGGAATTATGTTATATTTTTAATTCTATTATTAGAATTATTTTATTAGTTTCAAAAATTGAAACTAATATTTATAAATAATATGTTATTTGTAGATTGTATTACTGGTGAAGATTGTGGTGAGAGAGAAATTTTAAGGAATAATTTATTGAAAAAGCCACAAGGTAACCATGCTTTTAATTTGTGATTAGTGTTACTTCATGTTAATTGGGTGATTATTGAGAAAATTATGAATTTTATAATATTATATAATTGTGCAATATTGTTATGAATTTTGTTTGATTATTGTGGGAGGTGTTGGGAGATTTGCTATTGTTGTATTTATGTGCCACGTGGTACGCCTCTATTGGAGCTCAATAGGTGGCTTGTAAGGGCTCGGGCTAATCTACCTTTGGCCGGGTAATTTAGCACCGAGTGAGGGCTACGGCTCGAGGTTAATGGAGGGATATAAGGATGGTTGTTTGTGTTTATTGTAATATTTCTTATATTTGTTGGAATTATATTATTTTTAATTCTCACTTAGTAAGCACACACTTAACTGTTTGTATACACTATCATAAATTGGCTTTGGTTACTGGGACTTTTGAGTCTCATTATGTGGTTAACAATTTTCAGGAGAAGAGCCACGAGTGACACGTGGAGGAGTCCCAGAGGCTTAGTGGTATAGATCCACTGTCTCTTTTGGGTATTTAATTTATGATTT